GACTCGAAATACCAAGTGTGTGGTATCAAATTATTCATAAAAAAATGCTTTTTCCAAATATGCTAATGAGTCACCCTCGTTCCATTTGAAAAAATTGAAATATGATTAAAAATACGATTTGAGCATTTTCTAACCGGCCAGGAGAAGACATTAAAAACATTAGAGGATCAAATCAATTTTTCTAAGGCTCCTTGATTAATAATTAGCGTTTTTAACATAGCCATGGCACTCTAAATTGAATTTTAAAATACAATTTTTTATTAATCGAGAATGTCAAAAGTTGACATATGATATGTCATTCTATTTAGAATGTCATTTTCTATCGAATAAAGTAAAAAAATACCGAGGGTGCCATTTAAAAATCAAAAGTTGTAGTCTCATTTCCGGCGAAACAGGAAGTGACCAAAAACAATTGAATACACCAATCAATCTTAATTTATGTCATATACTAACATACGAAATCTCGTTTTTTATCTGAAGAAATAAAAAAGTTATAGAGGTGACCCACTTTTGAGACGCACCCGGTAAACTACTTAACACTTTTTCAAATGCTTTTGATTTCCCTTTTAAAATAAAGTCTGTTCATCTGCCTAAAGAGCCAGAACGGAAGAAGATTAGAAGAATATTGTCGACATCCAAACAATAACAGAAAATACAATTTGTCTGTGAATTAAAATGACAGACAACAATTCAGGAAAAAAGAAAATGGTAAACCTATATTATTAAAAGCGTAGGAAAATGTCGTGTTTTTATATTTTTATCACGTATTTACGTTGGTCTTACTGTTAGCATTATTTTGCGTTTATAAGAATAAAATCCTATTTAATATGTATTTATTTATGTCACATAATCAAACAGAAAAATTACTGATATTTTTGTTGTTTATGTATTAATTTCCTTGAAGAACTATTAAATTCTAGTTACTTGTGTATATTTATCTAGGTTTCTCAAAAGTGGCTCACCTCTATGATTTTTATATTTTTTTCAGAAAAATAAACAAGATTTGGTACGTTAGTATATGACATAAATCAGGATTGACTGACGTATTCAATTGTTTTCGGCTTTTTTTTTTACTTTAATTCGATAGAAAATGAAACTGAGTAGAATGACATGTCATATGCCAACTTTTGATATCTTCGCTTAAAAAAAAATTGTATTTTAAATTTCAATCTCCTGGGCCTGTGTTAAAAACACTAATTTTTATTGATTTAATAATTTGATCTTTAATGTTTTAGTGTCTTGTCCTAAGACCTAATTTGTTTCACATGGAACGAGGGTGGCTTATTAGTATATTTGGAGAAAGCATTTTTTATGAATAATTCGGTACCACACACTTGAGTCAAATTGTCGTTACTTTTATAGTCATGGCACTCTAAATGGAGATATAAAATGCTATTTTTTTAATGAAAATGTCAAAAGTTGATATATGAGACGTCATTCTAGTCAGAATGTAATTTTCTATCAAATGAAGTAGAAAATATCGAGGGTTCTATTTCAAAAATCAAAAGTAAATTTATGTAATATATTAACCGAGATATTAACCTACCAAATCTCGGTTTTTAAATGAAAAAATAAAAAAGTTATATGAGCCACTTTTTAGAAACACCCGGTATTTCAAGTTCTCTGAAACCAATGTGATTGATTTAAATACACTTCGTCGCATAAAACCAATTATAAAATTAAGAAGAAATAATAAAAAATATAAATACACAAAAGTCCAAACCGCCTAAATTAAAACTTCACGTACTAAATTGAAAATTTTTAAGAAGTATAACAAAACAGACTAACAAAGAATTTAAATGAAGATGATTCCTACTCTAATGCACAAATATATACTACTAGCACACTACTAGCGTGTACCAGCGACTTCGTTCGCGTCGAATTAATCATTTGTAATGGTGATGATAAAGCAAAGCAAGAATTTCCATTAACATACAAACTGGATAAAATTTTCTCACATTTATGTCAGAATGAGAAAAAACAATATGGCGATATTATTATATAACTTGGTAATATTTGAGGGGTAATTTCATCTCGTTGGAATTTGACTTTCGAAAAATCCGTTTGCCTAAAATAAGCTTTTTACGTCAAGCAGTTTAAAAAAGCTTAAGTTTTAAAATAAGCTTTTTGGAACACCCTGTATGATTTTTTTAAAAATTTCAAAATATGTAAAAAAACCAAATGAAATATGCTTGTCCAAGCGTTTTCCCGAAAGACTAACCGTTTTTTAAATAACAAATATTGTAATATCTGAGGGGCGTTTTCACCCTCTTGGAATTTGAGATTCGAGAAACCCCTCCTTATCGAACCTCTACACCCCACAGTCAATCTGTTTGCCAAAAATCAGCTTTAAACGTTAAACAGTTTAAGCAGAATCGTGATTACTCAATGGTCATATTTTATGAAACACCCTGTATAAATTTAAAAAAAATCTTAAAATTTGTAAAACAACAAAATAAAATATACGTGTTTAAGAGTTTTTCCGAAAAACTCACCGGTTTTTAAATAAAAAATATTTTAATATTTGAGGTATATTGATAGTTTCACCCCCTTAGAATTCGAGTTTTGAAAAATCCCTTCTTATCGAACCTCTACACCCTAAAGTCAATCTGTTTTCCAAAAATCAGCTTTTTACGTCAAGCGTTTTAAGCAGGATCGTGATTAATCAATGACCAGATTTTTCGAAACACCCTGTATACATTTTTAAAAAATCTTAAAATATGTAAAAAAACAAAATAAAATATACGTGTTTAAGCGTTTTTTCGGTAACTTGACCGTTTTTTAAATAAAAATATTGTAATATTTGAGGGGTGGTTTCACCCTCTTCCAACTGGAATTTCGAAAAATCCCTTCTTATCGAACCTCTACACCCTAGAATCAACCTGTATGCCAAAATTGAGCTTCTTACGTTGAGTGGTTTGAGCAGGATCGTGATTAATCAGTATGTGAGTCACTTAAGAATAGGATAAGAAATTTTAGTTTTAAGTACGCCTATGACCGAAAGCGAACGTCTACCTCCCGCTTCTAATCAGCGGCCATATTTGGATGGAATCAGGGATGAGTAAATATAAAGGACCCTAAAATTAATAAATTTTGCTCGTCTGCTCTGTTCAAACACGTAAGAAATATTTATTGATGGATCAGTATGGCAGAGAACTAATAAAAAGGCCGTTATTATGAATAACAAAATGGTATTTGAACATCATATTATAATCAAATTGAATTGACAATAGATTAATTTATCAGCTATCCGCAGAAAATTGACAATAATAATAGAAACATGACACATGGCAATTAATATAATTCCAAATTCAAAATCGATAAGAGTTCTCATTCATAATAGTAATATAGGTATATTTCAAAGAACTTTACTTAAAATTAACTTTTTTAATTTTGTACTAGTTTATGGCACTTGGTGGTATAACTTAACAAAATAATATCAATCATTAAATAAAGCATAAACGAACCAATAAATAAACAAAAAGGTTAATTTATTTAATAAAACGTACAACGTACAGCTTTGGATGCCGATTGTCGTGTGTATGAAGAATACAGTCAACGTGTGTTCAGTACAATACGATATACTGAAAGAGAAAAGACTATAAAATACGGGAGAAAAATGAGAAGTTTATTACCTATCCACTTAATCCGGATCGGTCGACAATAGAATTTGTGATATTTACAACATTATGTAATTAATTGATTATCGGTCCTATTATGTAACTGAGGATGTACGTAACTACGTAATAGGGCATATTTTTTGGTTAGTTTATTTAATGAAGCGTACACACGGCATTGGTTGCTGATTCTCGTGTGTCAACGTGTTCAGTACAATACGATATACTGAGAGAGATGCTGATGCTCTATTACGTAGACACGTACATCCCTAGTTGCATAATAAGACAGATAATCTATTAATTACAAAACGTATTAAAAGCGCAAATTCTGTTGTCGAACGCTGTAATCAGTATAAGATTATGTATTAAATAATTATGGAGGTGCATATGAAACATTAAACAATTCATCATTGTGTTAAGTTATACCACGTAATTTAAAAAAAAAGATCAATCATTTAATATCTCACTTCACACTGTCTCACTCCATTATTATTTAATACTGATTAGAATGGTCGACAATAGAATTTGCACTATTTACTACGTAATACAGCATATTTTTTGGTTAGTTTATTTAATGATATAACCGATAATGTACACACGGCTTTGGGTGCCGATTGTCGTGCACAGAGTCTATAGACTCTGTTATTGTATAAATGAACAAAGAGAAAAGAGCAAGAATTTTCCCAAGCGCATGAAGTTGAGCTCCGGGTTAAGTGGATAGGTAATAATTTTCTCTCCCCGACTTACAAGATTGCCATAGCGATTCACTTCTAGACATGTAGGTAAATGATGACTAAAATAAACGACCCAAGATTTTCTCTTGCCGACCAGTATATTATCGTATTCTTAAAGAAATTAGAATAAAATTAACTATGTAAAAAATTTCATGTATACTACTAAAATGAAGATAACATATCTAAGCTGAATGTAATCTATTACAGTTGTAGTAAAATGAGTAACTAATTGTCGAAAATCCAGATCCAACCCTAGATGCGACATTTTTTTGAAACGTCTACTTATGCGGTTTGAAATTTTGATGCAAAATCTGGCAATACCGCTCAGAAGAAATGTATCCACCCGTACCCACCCAACTTTTTTCTCTTTTTAATACATTTGATTTGCCATTAAGCTGCCTACATCACTGTCTTAAACGTTAAAATCCTATACACAGAGTTGACCTGTCCCGATGTGTATAGTATTTGAAAATGTAGAATAAATACTCAGTCTAATCTTTAATTTGAACCAGGTCTCTTTGAGAAGAATGGACGCCTTCTTTAAATTTCATATAGTATTTGGCTTCTTGCTGTTTTTTTTTAATTAATGTAAGGAACCAAAATATATAAAAAAAACATAATATAATATATTTTATTACACATATAAAAGATACATAATATTATTCTAGTAATATCTGCGAGGTTTATATCATATTCTGATAGGTCAAAACTTGAATATCATCATGAAAATTATTAACATTCGTAATTCTATCTCTCTTAATATAGTCAGAACAAGATTTGCAACATAAGCTTCTAAATCCTCTCAGCTCACAGTATCTTTGAAGGAGTTCAAAAGCGCAGTATTTCGATGTGTCCTCTTTACACCTCTTCAATCTTCTGCCTTTGCATAGTTTGTTGTTGTGACGAGTGTAGTCTCCTAGGCAGATCTGTCGTTGAGGTGGTGGTGGTTCTCCACAGGTACCATTTTCGTCTGCTGGACAATGTGCCGTTCTGGAAGTAATTCCTGTTCCGCAGGATTCTGAACACTAAAAATAAAAAAAAATATGTTATAAATGACTTCTAGTTATAAAATGCTTGCCAAAAACTTCTTACAAATTAGAGTGATTTTTATTGCTGGACTTTTGAAAAAGGTTGTTATTATAGGAAATCAATGCCAAAAGGGCATAACAGAGTAGTGTATAATGTTGATTTTCGTTACTTTTGACTACTCGTTACTAATCGTTACTCCACTATTATAATCATTTCAAATGTTCGTTACTGTGATTACTTTGTACTCTTTGTACTGATCTGTAGTGTCCAACCGAATGTCAGTTTTTGGCCGAAGCCGATGATTCGACTTTTGCCATAACCTTCGGCAAAAGCCGAAGCCGCAGTCGAAGCCGAAGTCAAAGTCGGAGCCGAAGGTTTAATTAGACTTAATACTACTTAATATCAATGTTGAGTATGCTTACAATAAATAAATTACATTTACAAAAACGATAACTCCGTTTTAATTTTTATTCAAAATATGTGTTTATTAAAATGCAACATAAAGGTAACATAACACCAAACACACAAACAAAACCTGATTTTCTAAAGTAAATTAAATATCATTAAACAAATCATAAACAAAAAAAGTATAAACAAAATAATAATGGCTAATATTCAAAATCAAACAACCTAATGTTATGCCGGGTCCAAACCAAGCAGACAAAACAACGACAAGACATAAACATTCATGTTTTACGACAAAATTGCGACAAATCCAATACATTTCTGCGACATTTTTGACTCATTTTTGTTTTGTTTCAAAATTCGGAGACTTTTCAATGTCCCGTCTCGAGTCAGTAAAGATCAAAGTGTCTATATTTTGTTCATATATTTTACGACAAGTTGTCGGCGCAGTGTGGATGGCGTGTGCTGCCAACAGTAGGAGACCAGTGAAATCACACATGGTTAATAAAACTCATTCGCAACAAGTAAACTTTTGACTTTGTCCTTGAGGACTTTTGTCCTTGCGGTATGGACAATTTGTCTCAAGTTTGTCTTTTCAGAATTCTCCATTTTTTGTCTCAAAATCGTGTTTACTTTTTGTCGCCTTGGTCTGGACCGGGCATTATACGTTGAAAACAAAAGTTTATCAACATTTTCGCCATGTAAATTAGCTCTTCTTTCGTCATAAATTTGACCATCAAAACTGAACAAATTCTTCACTAGAAACACTAGTGGGAGGAGCTGATAAATATTTGGTTGCAATTAGTCTTAAGTGTATATACGGACTGGAATATGGACCAATACTCAAAAATGTCAGCGGTTCTAAGCAGCAAAGGTTCCTTCAAATAGCAAGTCAAATGTTCTTCAAAAGGCACGTGGGAATAGTCAGAATCTTCAGATGCAGTGACATTCAAAGGCATTTTGTCGTGGGTATCTCATAAATGGTCGTTTGAGGAGTGGTTTGAGGTATTTCCAGGAGAGGGGTCTGATCTTGAACAAGAGGGTCCAGGTTCCTCAACATCCACATTCATATATGATCTGTTCGATTTGTTGGTGCACAGTTTTCACGTAGAAATGTCAAAATGTCGGGCTTTGCATTTTTTTTCAATTTCAGTTTCGTCGCTAGTCAAATATTTTGTTTTAAACCTTGGATCGATTAGAGTGGCAATTAACAACGATGAAGTATTTCAACATAAGCAAATCTCTTGTTAACAAACTCACACAAGCGGCTTATCAAAAGTTTTATATCTTCAGTGTCTTCATCCTTCTGAGCAAGTTTTGCATTTAGCATAGCAATCAATGGTATGATTAAGGATACTGAAGAAGAATCGGCCAAAAAGTTCAGTTTCGGTGGCTCCAACGGTCTAAGACACTAGAAAAAAATTCTTAGAACTTACGACCGATAAAAATTAAAGATTTTCTTTGATTTATGTAAGAACAATCTACGGATTGTAACGAGGTTGTCGAGGTTTCGAGGATTAGGACACTGTGTCCTCAACGAATACCTCATTAGATTGAAGCTGAGAAGCAACGGTGAATGCAGATTCTGTGGCGAAAAAAGGGAAACACCAGAACACCTCATCACTAAGTACATCGTGACGACAACCGTTCGTGCCATTAACTTTGGTAAGGCTAATGTCGGAGATTTGGCCTCTGTAGAGCCTCTCAGATTCTAGCTTTTGTCAAAGCCCTGGGTTCTTCAAGAATCTCAAGAAAGGGGAACTACCCCCTAACCTAACACACTAGATCTATAATATTGCGTTGATTAATCCCCCTCGTAAACATTCCACATTCTACGTCCAATAATAATGGCTAGCTTAATAGCATGCTATACAGGGTAAATTGTAAATATTAATTGAGTCAAAAACTTTACATTTTCTTCGAAAATTGCTTTTTAGATAATTTAGCATTGTATTCATTTTGACATTCTTCTTTATAAAAATATTTTTAAAAATCTGGATTAAAAAATATAGAATTATATAGATATTTCTGTATGTGTGTAATTTATAAAATTTCTAACAGATTTCTATTACCTTCAAGCATATACAGGGTCCGGCAATAGTGCGTCAGGCATCTGTAGCTCATAGAATAAATAACTTGAGAATTTTGTTTAAGTGCAAACCTAAAGTATGTACCAGGATGTATTTCAGGAAAATATTTTAACTTCTATAGGGTGGCTCAAAAAAGTGTCAGTGGACCTGGATGATTTTTTTTTTAATGGAACACCCTGTATATAATTGCATTTTTGGCTTCCTTTCAGATCACTTTACATAACCCTAAGATATGAATAAATATATTTCGATAGTTTCAGAGATATTAAAAAATAAATAAAAAATATGTATATTTATTTATATATTTTTCAGCCCTTCTTAAAAAAATTATTAAAAATACAAGAACTGTTCTGAAATCAAAACCATATTAGGTATTTACTTTAGATAGTCTGTTCTTAGTTTGTTATAAATATGGTAATGGTATATCATACAGGATGTTCAATATTCTACGCCAAACTTTCTAAAATATAAAATAATTTTTCTTTGTTATTTTAAATGGAACACCCTGTATATTATATTTTTATTAGATGGAGAGTTAAAAAATAAACATTTTTTGTATTTAGAGTACTTCAAAATTTTGAACGGTTTCGCAGACAGGCGCAGTATTATTTCATATGGCGCTTTCAATGGTAAAATACGAGAAAAAAATCATTGGGTGGCTTTGATAAAAATTTACTGTGGAAAATTCCATATGAAATATAAAACCGCAAATATCTGCGAAACCGTTAAAAATTTTGAAATACTCTAAATACAAAAAATGTTTAAATAATGGTAAAATACGAGAAAAAAATCATTGGGTGGCTTTGATAAAAATTTACTGTGGAAAATTCCATATGAAATATAAAACCGTAAATATCTGCAAAACCGTTAAAAATTTTGAAATACTCTAAATACAAAAAATGTTTAGATAATGGTAAAATACGAGAAAAAAATCATTGGGTGGGTTTGATAAAAATTTACTGTGGAAAATTCCATATGAAATATAAAACCGCAAATATCTGCGAAACCGTTAAAAATTTTGAAATACTCTAAATACAAAAAATGTTCATTTTTTAATTCTCGGTCTATTGAAAAAATAATATACAGGGTATTCCATTTAAAAAAATGAGGAAAAATTATTCTATATTTTAGAAAGTTTGGCGCAGAATTTTGAACATTCTGTATAATTTACGATTTTCATATTTATAGCAAAGTAAGTACAGACCATCTAAAGTAAATACCTAATATAGTTTTGATTTCAGGACCGGTTCTTGTATTTTTAATAATTTTTTTAAGAAGGGCTGAAAAATATATATTTTTGATTTATTTTTTAATATCTCTGAAACTATCAAAATATATTTATTCATATCTTAAGGTTATGTAAAGTGATCTGAAAAGAAGCCAAAAATGCAATAATATACAGGGTGTTCCATTTAAAAAAAATCATCAAGGTCCACTCACACTTTTTTGAGCCACCCTATAGAAGTTAAAATATTTTCTTGAAATACATCCTGGCACATACTTTAGGTTCGCACTTAAACAAAATTCTCAAGTTTTTTATTCTAGGAGCTACAGATGCCCGACGCACTATTGCCGGACCCTGTATATACTGAATCAAATTATATTTCATCATACAGTACAAAATTACCAGATAATAGTAAACAACCATTTGACTTATTATTATTGTAGAAAGCTCCGAAACTGAAAGCTGTAAAATTTTACGCTACACTTTTGAAAAGCAAAAGATAATAAACACTGCACCTGATCAAAAGACTATTTAACTTGGAGTATATTTTAGGCCTGTCAAGCATTTAGAAATGTTTGGGAAGAGAGTTAAAAATATTTTCGTGAAGTTATAGGTGGCTACAGTTTAAATCCTTTTACTGAAAAGTAAATTCAAATATTACACCTACGAATATACCTATTAAAGTTTTTTGACACCTTGAAATACCGTCTTATCATACCATTTCTATTTGCGTTGTGAAATGTTCTAGTTTAAATATTGATAGTTTATTAAACATTCAACAATTCAACATAACTAAATTCTATTTTTAACAAGCAATTGAGAAAAAACTAAGGCTTGTTAATAATAATTTTCTGCTAATTTATAATTGGTTTTATGTAAAATTTATAAATGTAGAAAGACATTTACATCGGTTTGAATTAGGCCAGTATTAGACTGTAAAATATATTTAAACAATGTCTTTGATGATATTTCTCTTATCTAAAATTATTTTCGCTAATTTCATTATAGGCCAGTCAAATAAGATCTATTATAGGGGTCACCAGGAAAATAGTGTTGGAAAGCTCATGTTTTGATTTCTTCAGTTGGCATGAAAGATAATTATCCTAGTTTTGCACGGTTGCTCGACCGCCGCGGCCGCGCCGCTCCACTCAGGAGGACCAAAAGATGGTAAAATTCTTGGACTTTTTTCAGATCTTTGTCTATAATTCCGAAACGTTGCGTTCTAGCGAATATTATATTATTACAAAAATTGAAGACTATTAAATTCTGCGTATAA